CTTGTAGCCGCCTCTCCGTGCACGGGGGAGCTCGTTGCCCTCCGCTTGCAACTGACGGTGTAAGGGTCAGGTCCATAAAATAACTGTTTGGCTCTGACTTACAGTCTGGGGTTTATTTCAAGCGCAGTAGTGCCCCAGCTGTCCTCTTCCCCTGTGGTGGGGATTCCCCTTGGACAGGGCAACACCAGCGCCACGGAGGCCTGCAGCTCACGCTGGCCACCGGGACGGTGGCTGTGCCTCTGCAGCCCGCGGGCTACAGGCAGCGTGGGGCTGTTAGACTGCTGCAAAGGGGTCGGTTGCGTGCCCAGCTGCCACCGCTAAACCTACCGGAGGCCCTCAGTCACGTCTGTGCCCGCTAGTGATGGCTTCCACGTGTGTGGGCCTCTCACTGCCTGCATTTGCACTAGTAAAGCTCCAGTGACTGACACACACTTAAATCTTCTTGAACACACAAACTAAGTATACCTGAACATACTTTGGGGCCACACTCAAGGGCATATTGAACACAGATGCAGAGGAAGATACTAAAACACACCAATCTTCACTTTTGAATCAAAAAAGGATTAAAGACAGTAACAATGCTGCTGGAAATGTGGCAGAGCCACAAAGCAAGATTGGGTCTAATGACCTCTTACCTCCCACCCCGAGTGTGCTGTGGCATGCACTTATAGTATCAGAAGGACACAATATGAAGTTTCTTCATAACCGAGGTTTGTTCTATTATAAGCAAGTTTTGATTCAAATATTCTATGTTAAAATAAGTGCTTGCATCAAAGAAGGTAATGGAGTCTGCCCTTTCAGCATCAGCAGTTCTTGAAATTTAGAAAGCAGCATCTGATTTTGAACATCTAACAGAACAAATCAGAAGCACTGTGCACAAGTAGAATGATTACACATGCAAAAATATCTTAGATTAACTAGAATCATTACGTCAGTACTGAGACAACATGATTCATGCAATATTTCAATTCTTTGTTTCACAAACAAAACCCAATGTAAATATATACTGTTGTATCACAGACTACAAGGCTATTAACTGGCTTGTGTATTGCATCATAGAAGGTTCCTTAGTTGAAATGGAAGCTATTTCCAAGGCTTTCACATTCATATTACCATTGATCCCTCTAAGAGGGAATCTTCTGGTGCTATCAAAAGGACCACAGCTGTTGAAACCAGACAGGGAACAAGGCAATTCTTCCCGGCAGAGGGCCATCACAAGCCAGCTGAGTCTCTACCCAACTGGGTCAAACACACTTGCACACTTCAGAAATGTGGAGCACAGGGAACTGATCTTGCATCAATGGGCAAGAATAAGCAGAGCTCAGGAAGTAGTTTTTATTCAGCATTTTATCTATAACAAAATTCCAAGGATGCACACATCCATCTTCAGTTCCATTGGATTTATAGTTTCCTTCCTCTCCCCGCTCATCCCATATTTGGCATGCTAGCAGTTCCAAGGTTTTTCATACCTTACATCTGAGTTTGATGCAGCAAACGCCTTTTGTATAAAAAAGCTACAATTGTTAAGTTTAGACAATTTTCAGATTTTTGTTTTTAGTATTAAACTCCGGTTCACTGATATCCAAACAATCCTTTTTAATGATTACAAAATTTCAATTTCAGGCACTCCACTTTATGACAGTATCATAAAAAAATCCTGTTTCATTGCTCTACACAGAATAATATTCCACCTTAAATTTTCAAGGCACAATTTCTATGTGCAGTTATTTGCCATAACAAAGTCTTTAAAAAAATAATTGCATTACGAAGTTTTATAAGTTCTCTTTAAAAAGCAAAGACAGTCTTCTGTAAAACATTAATTTTGCCTCAGCTACATTCTAGTGGCAGTTTATAGGAAGTTCATAACACAGTGTCCCAACTATTCTCTTGTATCTTCATACTTGATTGCAATTTGGTTTTTTGTAATATTTAAAAGGCAATTCTGCCAAGCGTTAAAGTGTCAAGAGCTTGTGCCAATGTTATTCACAGACGTGACCATAAACAGAACCACCTTCTAGGATTAAGATTAGTGTAGTCTCAGTCAGGAATAATTTGTTCACAAGCTTGTCAAGGTCCGCAGTATTCAAAAATGTCAGCACTGCAATAAAATCTTAAAGAATACTAACTAATGGGCAAAAGACAAAGCATTCCATTTTGCTGTTGAAATTAATCCAATTCATTCAATTATTATCAAGGAGGTTTTAATTTTTAATGTCAGACTTCAAGTTTCTGGATAGACAGCTGAAGTGTATTCAAGAAGTAGCTTGACTCCTAGCATAACTACAGACATAAAGGAAAAAGAAAGCAGGCAAGGGCTGCTGACACTATAGTTTCTTAGAAGATGCAAATGCCTTCACATTCTACTTAGCCGAGCAGAAAACTGAACTCGTTCAAGCAGCTTAGCTGCTTAAACTCAAGAACACTACATAATACCAGTTGGCAACTCCTTTCCCCAGAAGGCAGCAACAAGCAACATTTACTGTTACTCCATTCATTATTCTCGGTTCTTAAGACAGGACTTGTTAAGAGATGGGTCTTCTAGAATTATAAACTTTAACACCATTCTGCGTTGAGCAGCGAGCATATTTTGTCAGAAGAGCGCCAACTGTCTGCTTCTCTGCACATAAGTCTCTATAGAGGAAATAAAGCAGATGACATTGGCATTAGAGATATTCTCATACAAAATGTATCCATGAAATACTTGCAAATATAGCAATAAACTGGATTAGGGTATTGGGAGAAAAAAAAACAAAAACACTACTGTAACATAATGCTTTAAATTACCTGAAGTTTAGAACTTGGCTTGCCATTTAAGCAACAGGCACAACTACATTATTTACTTCAGAAGCAAGGATCTTGGTTTTTAGAGCGAGCAGGTTGGGTTTTATTATTAATGTTCACTAAAGGGTTTTCAATCTAGCAAAACAGTTAGCTTTGAACTACTTAATTATATTACAGTAAATTTAGAACCACTCATCAAGGTTTGATGCAGTTACTTCTGGGTTACCATCTGTATCTATTCACATGTATCCTGGCTGGGCATTCCAGATAGCACCGTAGTGTGTTCACCACCAAAAGGAGGACACAGTACAGGAAGCACTACTGCTCTATAGTTCTTGTGTTGTAAATATGGAGACTAATTATCAATGTCAGGAGGTTTATCCTTTGAATTAAGTCTGCCTCAATCAAATGAGACAGAATTACCACCCATTTAAATTCAGTAGCATCAGCTTTTTACGTGAGTTTAAATCCAACCAATATAGTGACAGTTCCCAGGGGTGGGGATTCTATTCACATAGAGAATTTGTATTCATTTAAAATGGGAAGTATAGTATTTGAGGCAATCATAGCTGATAAGAAGTCAGCTCTGCAAAAAGGGAAGAATATAACACTAACTGTATTTTAGTAAAAAGAAATACATCCTTACTGTATATAAGGGGTAATATCCACTTCTGTCCACTTTTCCCGTATTCTGAATAAGCTGTTGAATCTTTCTTGATTGTCTTCAGGTAAGTCTTCTACTTTCAGCAGAAAGATGGTCTCTGGTCTTGAGCTTTTATCCACAAGAGCCAAGCCCTGGAGATCAGCATCCGAAATAAAATATTATGTAAAGACAAAACAATTAAACTTCTTTCTTTCTGGCAATGATCCATACAAGTTGCCATTTGCACGTCCAAAGCCTTCTAAAACTGCACTATTAGAGGAAAAGTGATAAAGTATCATAAAGGCACTATTTTACAGGCAGTATTTACCATTTCCTTTATGACAAGAAGGGAGGGGGAAATCCATTGAGTTCCAACATCTCCCTGCCTCCTTTGAGCAAAAGGATTTCCATAGTTCTTCCTACTCTACTGTCTGTCACTACAATCTGCTCAACAATAGTGTTAGCTTCTGTTCTACTTCACATTTACAACTATTAACTGTACAGCTGCAACTTTTCTTGGGGGTTGGTCTCTTCTCCCAAGTAAGTGGCGATAGGACAAGAGGAAACAGCCTCGAGTTGCGCCAGGGGAGGTTCAGGTTGGCTATTAGGAAGAATTTCTTCACTGTAAGTCATTAAGCGTTGGAACAGGCTCCCGAGGGAGGTGGTGGACTCACCATCCCTGAAGGTGTTCAAAAAACATTTAAATGTGGCGCCTCAAGACATGGTTTAGTGGGTTTAGTGGCATGGTGGCGTTGGGTATATGGTTGGACTTGATGATCTTTGAGGTCTCTTCCAACCATAAAGATTCTATGATTCTATGCTTCTTCAAACAGTGAACCATGGCAGACTTACAGAAATCTGAATTGTCATGATTCCAGACTACTGATGCTCATAGAGGATGCTGTAAGTACTTTAACTCAAAAGCTGACAGAAGTAACACAATCAATACCCATTAACTGATAAAATCTATGTATGACACAATTCAGTTAACAACCTACTCATGAAAGAATCCATAGTTCTTTATGTTTTTACCTTAAGCTGATCAAGCCTTGTTGTCATCCCTTCAGGAACACTTTGTTGCCATACTTCTTGAAACTCTGATAGATTGAATTTAACTGCATTTTGCAAAAGCATTCGTGCTATAGCTCTGCATATTTTATCTTCATGCATTTCAAAGTAAATCTCCCCTGCTGAGAAACAAAAAACAGGTTGTCTTGAGTTCTTGCTTTTTGATGAAGAACAGAGAACAGCCTCGTATTTCCACTCTGTTCTACAGTCTTCTACTAACCAAGTATCCTGTTTTTTCCTTTTCCTCAGGGAGTAATCTGATTTGGTATTACTGTGGATAAATGATGGCATCTTCTGATTCTCAAGAACAAATCATGCAGAATATTATGTATGTGCAGCACTGTCCGAGCTACAGTATCAGTAATGTATTTGCCCTCCATCTTTTCCCCTTTCACAGTAACACTGTTTCTCCTACAGCTTTCGTTCCTGTATCTGAATGGCTCGTATTAAAGCTTTTGCTGTCTGTGGTTGAACAATTAGACACAAAACTTTCACTTCCTTAATCATTCTTATAATATGAGATGATGAAGGGCATACTGAGAATTTCTTTTATTTCACACCGACTTGGCTAAAATTCTCTGAACAACGTCAGGTAAAACGCTTCCTTCTACTTTTTCCATCATCTGGACTCCCTGGAATTCAAACTTGTTCCCTGTGCAACCTGCCTAAATATTCGAAGGCAATCTATGTCACTCCAGCTACTTTCCTATATCCTTTGAGGCTGAATGCAACTCCTACTTCAGCCAAAGGCGAGATGAAAGCAACTGTGGGGAAGAACTCAGATTGAGATTAAGGCGCTGAAATATTATGTCTATGTGCAAGATGGGCAAGGGAGATCTAATCAATACAGCCAATGAGTCTTGTGGTGCAGTTCAAGGGAGCAGACGTCTCCTTCAGACAAGCTGAACTCAGGGAGATCTACATGCCATTGGCTATTCACGATGGCACAATTAATTGCTTAAACATCTGAGACCTCCTAGGGTATCTAAAGAGATATGCCATCTAAGTTTTACTAGTGATCTGTCTTTAGTCACAAAATTATGGCTTGTGGACACCTAATAAATCACTTCTGGTACCTCTGTTAATTCCTGAATTTTCCCTAGTGTCTTGTACAGTTTATTAGTCCTTTTTCCTATGAAACTTTCTCTAACAATTTTTCTGATCTTTAGCTCACTGTGCACTCCCTCCTTTTACTGGCACTGTAATAAATTTATTTGTTTGGGCCATCCTCCCAAAATCTGCATTTACTCATGAATAACTATTTCCTTTATGCAAAATTAAAATATGCATGCTTTCCCAAACTTACCATCATCAGTGTATTTCCTTCCATAGCTTAAAAGGATGTGTTCTATCATCTCTCTGGGAAGGAAAAAAAAAAAAAGAAAAAAAAAAGAAATCAGAAATCAGGTTTAAAACTGTTCATTAGGAGATTACAGAAACAGTTACCAAGAAGAAAATGAAGGAACAGGTATAAGGAAAGAAAGAATCGAGGAGAATGAAGGATGGGACATGTCTTCATGGATAAAATGAACAAATTGATAAAAACTTAGGAGTAAAAAGAGAATGAAAGGGGACAAAAAGGACAGATGGGAGTTAATTCAGCGTGTCATCCCCAAAGGTCTCTTTCACTGTCTAGTTATAACTAGCAAAGACAAAGACTAAAAGGCGTAAGGAGAATAAGGAAGAGAGACTCTTGCAATGTTACTTTCCAATGAGAAGTGACGCAAGTCACAAATTCAGCAGTTAATTATCCCTTACTGAATAGTAGGCATTTCTCTAGAACTCCAGCATAAAATTACAGCCTAACTGCAGACACTAATACTAAAGCAAGATTTCTTTTTCAGCCAAAGCCAAAAAAATGGAAAACGCTACATATTGTAAACTTAAGACTTTGTTTGAATGGTAATCTTGAACTATTTAATGATTCCAAATGGCAGTACAGTAAAGTCAACTCTTACAATCTGAAGTCAGTATTACACCAGAAAACATACCGTCATCTCAGACATTACGCAATAGGTAAACTAAACATTTTTGGCTAGGTATAGCTTCAGAACAAGTATTTCAAGAAGGTCAGCAATTTACAGCTTAAGTACATGCTACTTCCATCATTTACAGTTCAGCAGTAATGTTTCTACTATTGAATCAATAGAAATATTACCAATAGACACTACAATCAGTCTACTAACCTGTCTAAACTACTAACGCCCTTATATATTTTAGAGTCAAAGGAAATGTATCGTTAACACCATGGTAACTGGACTCTAGAGTTATAAGACTGTAATTCTAATAAACAATAATTATTGCAATTAGTAATAGTTAATAGATTGTAGACAATTTTAAGTACTAAAAGTAATTGCTTACGTGGGCTCTAGAGATCCAAGTTCCTCAAGGCAGGTACGTAAAGGAACCTTACTTAAAGACCAGGACTCTGAGTCTATCAGCTGAGTCACATGGTTCAAGAGTTTCATCTCATAGTCAAATTCTAGAATTCTCCAATATCCTGCCAATTAGAAAAACCACAACACAGTGTTAGAAGGAAAACATTAACACCTTAATTCTGTTCCCCTGAAGATACATGACAGGAGTCTGGACATTTAGGTCACACCGTTACAAAGTACAGCAACAGCATTCTGTCCTTTTCAGGATTAAAACTGAGAAAAAGAACAGAATAGTAAGAGCAAATGTAAAGGAGAAAGATTAAATAATCTCAATTATTCATAACTGTTTATGTAGATTAACTGCCACAGATACAAAGACACTACAAATCCCATCCCAAGATGAACCAGACCCAGAAAAACTAATAATTAATTCAGGCACAGAAGTGCATGAACAGAACTGGCTGCAAAGTGACAGATCAGGCCCAGTCAAGTCCATAGAAATTCAGATGTGACAAAGCGTGGATCTGGTACAACGGTGCTGTGCAGCTGTAAATGACAAGGAAAGTCATCTGTGAGATCCTCACCTACCTAATTGGACGGTATAGAGAAGACGGAGCAGAAGTCTTCCCAGTGGTGCTCAGTGATGGGACAGGAGGCAACAAGCACAAGTTGCAACAAGGGAAATCCCAGCTGGTTATTAGGAGGATTTTTTTTCCCCTTGCAGACAGTCAAACACTGGAACAGCCTGGATAGAAGTTATGCAATCTCCATCCTTGGAAATGCTCAGAACTCAAACCAGTCAAGGCTCTGAGCAGCCAGCTCCAAGTTGGCCCAGTTCTAAAGCTGGGGTTTGGACCTGATAACCTGCAGAACTCAGTTCTGCCCTATATTATTCTATGACTCTAGGACTGCTGTCACCTTGTGTCCAGGTGAGGGTTTGGCCTTGGCCAAGTAAAGGATGAGCAGGACCGGTCCCAAGGTGAGGCACTTGCTCCAGCCTTGCCTCACATGGTAGGAAGACTTCTGAGATAAACCCAGTCTGGGAGGAAGAAAGGACTATGAAGAAGCAGAGGTTACCTAAGGATCAGCTATTTTTGCCTCTAGAACTGCAGAAAGCAGTACCCACTTATCCATGAAGAGGGCAACCAGCCAAAAAATACTCATGCTATGGGTGGGATACTCTGATGCTAGCGTGTGTAGCAGTAAAGAAGGAGTTACCCTGGGAAAAGCCAGGCTGGTCAATGCTTGCTGGATTTTATCCTTTTGATCCGCTTCATAGTGGCAGAGGACATAGAAACTACGGAAGCAGATCTTAGTACTCTGAAGTAACTTGCACCGTGAAAGACAAGGATATGCAGGGCCTTAGAAAAAGGAGACACAGATATTTTGGGGAAAAAAGCAGAGTTTTTTCCTCAGAGGCAATAATATTCTTTAGAGACATACCTTCAATTTTGCAGGCATCTATAACCTGCAATTCGTGCAGTATTTCCTCTTCACTTGCTTGAATCAGACTTAACAAATCCTCTGTTGTATACTGCAACAAGGGAAAAAAAGGAAATAAACCAGGTTATCTTTACTCCTCCTTTGCTTCAGCAAGCATGCTAAATGCATTATAAAATATTATGAAAGAAAGACTTAGAAGATGGATGTTTTTTCCCCCCAGATTCTGGATTTTCTAAGGTTTACCATACTCTCTGAAACTTTCCCTGTAACTTACAACATTTTCACAAAGGGTTATTCAATATAAAACCCATTTTAACTACAGGGAAGTCTTTGTGCCATGCGTAATATACTTGTATTCCCAGGATGTCAAACTAGCACAAGTAGGCATGATAAGTATCCCAGCAAGAATGAAAAGTGAATGTGTTCTGTCTTTCTTAAATCACATATTTTAATCTATGAGATTCAAAAAAAAGGCAAAGCAAAAATCATTTATCACTTCTGGATAAAAGACAGAACTCCAACTTAGTACCTCCACTGAAGGAAACCCTCCTCCAGCATGACCTCAACACAGTTTTGTGTTGTGTTTTGGTGTCTGCTAACCAACTAGCAGACATGTAGCACAGCCCCAGCCCCAATACATACAGCTCCTTGCAGAACAGTTACTTGGTGAGATGGGAGGATGTTGTGGATACTGTGGTAAAGATTTAGAAGACATGGGAGGAACAGAAGGTATCATGAGGAGTGAAGTAAAGGCAAGGAACACCAGACTTAAATCCATAGGAAACAGGCCTTCAATTTTTTTATTTGCCTTGCAGCCTTTTTAATCAACTCTAATATTAAAGTTTTGCTGGTTCTAGTGTAAGAATATTTCCTATCAGAAAAAAATTGGATTAAGTACTTAAGATCTATTAGACTATCGGAACACAAATAGAACAAACCAACACTAAGTTTGGAACATCCACATGTTGAAAAAGCGTTTAATACATACAGAAAGGTCTCCACTTCCTGCTATGCCATTCCTATTAGACACTACGTTGAAAGATCATCAGGCTAAGCGGCACTGAACTCACATCAGTATTTCAGCAAGGGATGACCATACTATACAGTACTTAAAAAACCACTGCTACCAATTCAGAGCAAAAATATCCCCCGATCAATATGTAAGTGTGTTTGCGAGTTAGATACTGCCATTCTGATAAGACCTTGCACAGGAGTCCTTGGCAGTTGTTCCCTCTCTGAGGCCTGGCTAGCACTCCAACAGCTATTTTTTTTTCTTTTTTTATTAAAAAAAAATAAAAAAAAAAAAAAAATCATTGCGCTCAGCTCTGATGCTTTTGTCAGCTGCACCACCCCCCTGCAAACATAAAATGGAATGGGCTGACTTGCATCATGTCCACACCAGCAATTTCCAGATAATGTATTTATTATGTTTCTTATCCTTAACTCAGATGCATGTGATCATTTGAGTATGTCTGGCCATTTGACTGTAAAATACAGGATTTTAATTTGGTGCATCCTGAGCAAGCTGTGTATAAGTTTTCCTGTAGTTTGCTAAATCACATCACTATGCAACAGGCTTCCTTGCAGTACTTCCTTATAGTGCTATAGTTCCTTATGGCTCTTTTGCTGTGTTTCTCTGTGTATGATACAGTACTGAAAACCATGAGCAGCTTACAGTTAACCACCAAGAGAGTAATTTGTTTTCAAACAGATTAAAGATGGCTTATTAGTTGCCAGCACATGATAAATATTAAGTGTAAGTAAACAACACAGCGGAAATCTTTACTACACATGTATTGCTTGGAATTCCAGTGAGAATTTCTCCTATAGGAAAGAAAGCTTTCCCATGGAGAGCTTTCAGATTCATTTAAAGTTCCATCAGTGGCAAGATAAGAATTGTCCAGATTTATCAGATATATCTGGTTGTTCTCCAGTAAGCTGATATAGGAAATATATTCTCCTTCAAAACAAATGGAGATCAGTCCTCAAACTCGGCACTAATGTTTGGGGAGATATTGACATGTTTTTATAATATCCATTCAATATTATGGATAAATATTATTGCATATGACATTTTTTGTGTTGCTAGCCTTTGTCAATGCTTATAATTTCTGGACAATTTAAGCCCTTTTCCCTCTGCTATGCCTTATTTTGCTGTATGTTCTTCTACACCTAGAGCAGAGTAGGTGGAAAAAGGTAATGCTGGGGAACGATTCTGAATCCGATCAGAAATTAGTCTGTTAGTCATTCAGAGAGAGGCAGCATCTTCCTCCAAGGGAGAAAAGTAACCTCTATGTTTGTACATCCAAGCACACACAGATGGTTTGTTGGTATTGGCTTCAATCAAGCCTCAGCATAAAGTACTTTGGAGCAACCATTTTTAAATTCAAAAGGAAAACCAAACAAACTAACAAAACCCAGGATTTTCATCAGCCTTTTATCTGAGATCATACACTGCACAGTCCAGATCTCTCCATTACTCTTTAGATCCCAAATTGGACTTCCTGGAAACATAAAATGGCAGCAGGACAGGATTCTCTGCCTCCTATCACCCTTGTCATTCTCTGCAACTCCCTGCTTCTCCTTGTCATCATAAATTACTGACTGGCAAGTGACTTGCACATGGGTGTCCTCTGACCTCATACTTAGCTCATACATGACAGCCCCAAAGAAGGAAAGGCTGCATTAGACTTTGGTAGTCATGTAACCCTCCAGGAATTTAGAAAAGCTTTTGAAGACTGTCATCAAGAAACTTCCCATACAAAAAGGGTAATCCCCAGTCTCTTTCGGTGTCCTTTCTTTTAGTCTTTTTACTAAAAGAAAGGCTGCTTACCTTTACTCAGTGGAAGTGCTAATAATTACCAACTTGTTTAGAATAGTAGGCTTAAAAAATTAACTCAAAGCAGCACTGTGAAACATAGGAGGAAAGGCATTTTTCTAGTTAAGAATGTATCTTCACTTTAATTTGCCCATTACCAGTTAAAAGAAGTACTTTATGCAATTGATATACCTTTGAAAATGTTAAAGTCTGATCTTTCCGACTCTCTGGCCCTTCATATGGATCTTCCATTAAAAGCTTCCTCAGTTTCTTCAGTTTCGGTCGACATCTCCTTAATTCCCAATAGTTATTGGAGAAACCAGCAATCTACAAGAAAAAACAGCAACTCTTAAAAGATTTTAATATACCATTTGGATTCAAAGCAGCTTACCAAAAATTATCAGCAAAAAGTGTTAATCTAGTTACTGAGAACAAGAATTCATTAATAGGGTAATTACTTTAAAGATGAAACAATCACTGTAATATTTTCAATAAAAAAAAAAATTTACCGCAGGCAATGAAGAAGAAAAATCCACTGTTGGTTGATAAAAATATTTTCACAGTGCGTATGACAAAGGGAACAATTCATCTTTACATGCAAATGATAGAATATCATCATGGTATATATTCCTGTGATAGAATATCAACATGGGATGTATTCTTGCACAATCCTCATCAACATTTCTTTTCTTCTTAATACTAAATTATATTACTGCTATAAAACCCCTCCTGTATTATCCTGTTTCCATCTTCCCCACTTCTTTGCACGCTTGGGACCCTTCATGGTATTTTTACACCTTTATAAATCATCGCATCACTAAGCTCAAGTCAAACCGGTACTAACAAGACAGTAAGCTACAACTGCACACAGCTAACAAGACATCTCTGTTCCTTACTCTGATTCAACACACAAATTATAAGCATGCAACAGGAAGCTCAGATGTAATTGATTCAACAACATTAACCTAATACAACTTTACCTTCAGAGTAATCCTGAGGTGTTTCACAGGGTACACCTTGGACTTCTTAGAAGAATCTTTGAAGGGGACAGAGTACTGGAGGCCTTTCAGCATTCTTTCTGCTATTTACCAAACCAACAGAAGTGGGTACAGAATGGCAGAGGTAGAACAGGCTCCACGTTTGTGACTCCTGACCCAACCACTAGCCCCTTGTAAAAAAGCCTCGGTGAAAAAGCCTCCAGATAGTACTTTAAAATATCCTAGATGCTTTGCCAGATTACTTTCTTTTTTAGGGTCCTCCATTAAAAAAAAATCCAAAACTTTAAAATAACATTCCATTTAAACCAACTATAAGTAAACCACCTATATATAGAAGAAGTACTACCCAAATGATAATACAGAGAAAGCTCTCAGTTTTTAATCTAACTATTCCATAGCTTGCTTGGCACAAAATTCAGGTAAATACTAACTTCCTGATAAACTTCCAAGCTTTTTTTTCCCCCTCCATGTCAAATAGCATTTACTAAAGTGTTAGATTTTTTTTTCCTGCCAAGTTCTTTTTCCGAGCAATTTAGTACTGAACAAGAAGGTACTCTGCATAGAAAAGAAAATAAATAATTCTAATTTATAATCCAAAGCTCATAACTGGAGCTAGTCTGTGTGAGGTGAATAAAATGGCAGATGTTTTGGCCATGAGTATTAGCCTTGCAAATGGTACAAAGAGCAGCACTGAGGCTGCAGGAGAAGGACCGTGAAGCCCTGAAATACTGAGTAAATATAGTATCTTTTGCCATGTTTCACAATTTGGAGTGTCAATACACCATGTAATGCTTTTGAAAACATTAAGAAAGCTCTTAGAAATAAAACTAAAAATAATTCCTAAGTGAACCACATTTATATTATGTTGACATGTGTGACTTCGGAAAATTAGTAAGATCATTAAACATAGCAAAAAAGAATATGGAAGAATATTACTTTCTCATTAATCTACTTTAGTTTGGATTAACTTTTTGTATTAGCTGAACTGCTGATATCATGGAAGAAATGATGTTGTTTTGATTATTATGTTCATCTAAGGACAAGCAGGATTATTCCGCAATGATGTCATTATATTCATTACAGCAAATAATGACCTAGTAATAATATTTGCCTAATTATTTTTAGTAGAATTTTATTAACTATGCTTCAGAAGAGCAGAGAACAACGAATTCTTTAAACTCAGAACTCTCAAACCATTCACTCCAACAAATCCTTCCAGATGCTACTTGAAAGAAAGTTACCTTTGAATATATTTCTGTATTTGAAAAATAATATTCAGGCATGACATGGTATAATCTGCCTTTTGGGGAAAGCACTCCTAAGAATCAATTTGCAAACAGCTTATTTTAAAAATAGCTGCTAACACTGAGAAATTAGATTTTCTTTGAAAGCTTTTAATACCTACCACAAATAATTACTATCCACTGAAAATAAACCAAAGTTTTAACTTCTAAGAAACAATAATAATCATACATTATGGATAAAGTTCAGTTGCCTAAAGAAGGGCCCTAGAGCCATTTTGGACACCCTATGGTACGGCATGCCCCCTCTATATAAAGTATATTTATAAAGACATCCTCCTGGGGCTGTTCAATATACAAAGAACCTACAAGAGACTCATATCCTTCTGCAGTGGCAGCTCGTAGCTAGACCAATACCACAAGGCGTCTAAACTGGCATTAGAAGCCTATGTTTAGGCAACTGAATCCCATCTGGGTTTCACATATGCATCTTGGATAAAATACAAGAAATTATAGAGAATAAGAAAGTAGAGAATTAAAGCAAACAAACAAAAACCCAGAAAGACATACCTGTGCATGAATAATATTACAAGATGCTTGATCTGCATTCAGCTGTTCTGGAGTTTTGCAACCAGGAATAAACAGCAGCATATTTGAGGTATCTGCTATTTTCATGTCATAAGTTTTATCTTTGCTGCACAATACAGCTTGTTCATCCTTTTCACCGCGGATTACTAGGCTGGAAAAAAAATAGCACAAAATAAAGATGTCTTTCTACTTCTATTTCCGGGTGAACACCTATTAAAAGTGGTCTGATATTTTTTCACATTTATACATTGGTAAAGAAGTTATAAACTGCAGTTCAATTTGGTACCAGGAGTCACAGTATACCAAAATATACAGATGTAATTGTGAGTTAATCTAAAATATCTTAACACTGTGTTTCTTTCTCTACTTTTTGAGTTTTTCCACTGTGAAAGACAAGCATTCAAGGTTTTTATGCAGATCACAGTCGATCCACCTCACCTGCCTATTCACACAGTCCCCTCTAAAACACTGATTAAAGTGATGCTTAAAGCTTGAACTAGTTCACTTATCTTAGAAATTAGATTACAACTAGAGCTGATCTTTAATGAGGACTGAAACTGGCCCATTGTTATCAAGAAAGCAAACAGAAATTGCATCTATTGTGCAGCACCCTTCAGATAGTTCCCTCTCAAAAACATACACATTTTCATGCAAGTAATTCCAAGCAGGAAAGAAAACCATCATGTGCATTTCAGCACAAAGAATAAATGAAAACCACCCTCTTCAGCTCACATACTTGATTAAATAGAGATTCTTAGTAAGAGCATCGTAATACCAAAGCAAGACTACAACAGGGGAACATTCAGTTCCTCCCAGGCTACACTAAATTAAGTGCTCAGATTCAATTTAATCAAACTGCTCCTCTTGCTTCCAAAACCTTGCATGCATTGACAAAGCTCAGCTGTGCCCCAAGTGGTCCTCAGCATGATTCAGGCCTCTAAGCAATGACACTTTATCAATATTGCACTGAGTATGAACAGGCGTACTAACATACATCTCTGAAGGCTACTTTCTTTAGAGGGAGTTCTAATATTGTACCATTTTAAACATTTTTATTATGTTGTCACTGGCACTGCAGCAAAGGAAGAAATTTTAAAACAGTATCAAAACCTTCTCTGGAATCTTGTTAGTCCAGAGTTAGATGTCACATAACCATCCTACCAAATCCCTATGCTAAGACTGTATGCCCTTCACTGTCCTGTTCGACTATGTCTACATTGTAGGCACCCGCCATCCACCCCACCTCAAGAGCTGCAGTAGGAAAAACTCAAAGCCAGGGGGATTCTTTGAAAGACATCATCAACTTTCCTAAACCCAAATCTTTAGGCACCTATATTCAAATGCCTGATGAGAAACTCTTCTCAGTTTTGGCTAGAAATCTCCTCACAAGCAATTTTTCCATATCCAAAAATAAAAAAAAGCTTCTTATAGGTGTTACGAGTTTTTAGTTTCCAATGTAACTGAGCCAGCTTTAAGGGACAGTTACATTTTCATGCAAACCGTATTAGAAGAACAGCAGTCTGGAAAAGGTCACGTTTAAGAGCCATGTCAGCTACTTAACACAAAAGACTGGACAGCGCAGCCCTGCCCCATCTCCATCCCG